TATGTTTACCTGTTAGAAGCACTATCTAGCCAAAATTGATTAAAAGAACATATAATTCAGTTTAGCAAACCTAAAGAGTTTTCAAGACAGTTCCCATACTTATCAATTCATCAATCTCTGTGACTATTCTGTCACTGCCTAGCTTTTTAAAGATGTACGAGGATAACATGTTGGAGCATTTTCATGTTCATTCAAATTTCTAATAATTGCTTAAATTACCAGACATGGACTCATGTTTTTGTTAATATTTTCCACACATCATATTAAACCTGGACCAAAATGAAAAGCTTCATTATTCAGCAAAATTCTATAAAGAATAGAGAGTTATTATAGCTCATCAGTTCATTCTTTTCACGAAAAATAATATAGAAAAATGTATAGATTTTGAAGAAATATTCTCTCCCGTGGTAAAGACGTCATCCGAATGGTCCTTGACTTAGTAGCCGTGCAAGATTTGAAAATTGAACAACTCGATGTTAAGACGGCGTTTCTACATGGCGATCTAGAGGAAGAAATCTACATGGAGCAGTCTGAGGGATTCAAAGTTCCAGACAAATAAAATCTAGTGTGTCGTCTGACTAAGAGTCTATATGGGATTAAGCAAGCACCAAGACAATGGTACAAAAAGTTCGACTCTTTTATGGCAGAACATGATTTCAAAAAGACGGAAAGTGATCATTGTGTCTTCACGAAAAGGTATGCAAGTGTCGACTTTCTCATACTCTTGCTATATGTTGACGATATGTTAATTATTGGACAAGATCGCATGAAGATAGTTGCTTTAAAGAAAGAACTAAGCAAGAGTTTCACCATGAAAGATTTGGGATCGACTAAACAAATCCATGGGATGCGAATAACTCGTGATAGATCAAAGATATTGTTATGGCTATCCCAAGAGAGATATATTGAGAAGGTGTTGGTAAGATTCAACATGCACAAATCAAAGCCGGTTAACACACCACTTGTTGGACACTTCAAGCTGAGTTCGAAGCAGAGTCCCACAAGTGAGAACGAAATGGAGCAAATGAAGAAAATTACATACTAATTTGTAGTAAGAAGTCTCATATATATGCAATGATATGCACAAGACCATATATCGCCTATGCAGTTGGAGTCTTGAGTTTCTTCTTGGTTAACCCAGTAAATGAACATTGGGTTACAGCCAAATGTATCCTCCGATATCTACGAGGAACTTCCAAAAGGTGTTTATGCTTTGGAAAAGGAAAACATGTGTTGGAAGGATACACAGATGCAAACTTGGTCGGTGATATTGATTCGAGAAAATTAACATCGGGATACCTAACTACTTTTGCAGGGTAGTTGTCTCATGGAAATCAAAGTTGTAAAAGTGTGTTACATTGTACACTACTGAGGCAGAGTAAATCGCAACTACTGAAGCTTGCAAGGAGATGTTGTGAATTAAGAATTTGTTGATGGAGTTGGGAATAGATCAAGAAAGGTATGTCTTAAAGTGCGAGAATCAGAGTGCAATTTATCTTGCAAAGAATTCAACATTTCATTCTCGCACAAAGCACATAGTCACTAGATGTCATTGAATCCGAGAAGTTCTCAAAGAAAAGCAAATACATCTTGACAAGGTTCACACAGATGAGAACTGGTCAGACATGATAACCAAGTAATACCGACAAAGAAGTTCGAAGATTGCTGTCAAGGTGTCGGCTTGCTACTATCTCATAATTAAGTCGAGAGGGGGATATTTTTTGGATCCCTCCTTAATTGGAGAGGTTCTAGAAAATTCTAGAGCTTTCAGGAGAAGTATAGAATTTTCTAGAGCATCCCAGAGAACTATAGAGAAGTGTAGAACTCTCTAGAAGCTTGTGAAAGAGTGTGGAATCCTCTGGAATATTCTAGAGATGTGTGGAACCTTATGAAAGAGTATGAAAGAGTATGGAATAATATGGAAGAGTATAGAAGAATATGGAAGGGAGGGGAAGAGTGTAGAGCTTCTTAGAGTGTGTGGAGCATTATAAATAATTAATCTCCACCCTTGGATGTAAGTAATCTCCACCATTCATTGTAGAGGTGGAGTAGTATAAATAGGGGTGAGAGACTTCATTCCTAACTATCCAAGAAATCCAAGCTTGAGAAATTAGAGAAACTAGAGAATTAGAGAGCCTCTTTGAGAGAGAAGAGAGATAACTTGGGAAGTCTTTATCCTCAAGCTTGAGTGAGTCACCAAGTGTGAGTCAAATTTTGTGAATACATCTTTGTAATCCTACTATTCTTTAGTATAGTGAAAGAATCTCCAAATTGGAGAATTATACGCTTGTGTTCTCTTTAATATCCTTAATCTCTAAGTGTTTATCTTACCTTCACGAAGCGAGAAATATCGTGATTCCCAACATTGTTGCCATGGAGAAATATCCAAATCTTTGAAGATTTCATTTTCCATATGCCTTACAATGAAATCTTCAAGTTTTACAAAAAATGCAGGGTTAGTATAACAACTTTATGATATTATCTTCAACCTCCTCTGGTCCAAATGAATATATTGAAAACATTCATCAATGCGTTTCATTATTTCAACAAAGATAAATATGTGATCAGCAATGGCTTCCATTTATTTCTAAAAAAGATTGTTGGAATAGTGTTTTGGGAAGAAGTATGGAGTGAAAATGGGGTTTTGGGAAGAATGCTCAAAACAAAATTCTTGGAGTGGAAATGGGGTTTTGGGAAGAAGCTAAAACATAATTCTTGGTTAAAAAAGAAGTGAACTTAAAGTAAAACAGAGAACATGGTGATTTTGGACAGGATAAGAATTATTTAGGGTCACTTTGACATGTGTTGTCCTCTGGTTTAAAATAAATAATCATGCATGATTGAGGTGGAATCGATCTCATGCTAATTGGAAAGACAAGCAAGCGTTGAACCACTAAGCTAACATTAAAATTCAGTTTAAATTGATAACATGGTGTATATAGTGTATATCATTATGTATAAATAATTAATATGATTTTATGATAATTTATGTATTTTTTAAATAGAATATTTTATGTATCTTAACTTAAAAAATATATTTTATTTTTATTTTAACTTATTAAATATATTTTTATTATCAAATTAAATTAAAAATATATTTTATTATTATTTTAGTTTAAAAATATATTTTATTCTTATTAATTTAAATATATATTTTATGTCATCTTAACTTTTAAAAATATATTTTTATTATCATTTTAACTTTAAAAAATATATTTTATTCTTATTTTAAATTATTAAATATGTTTTTATTTATATATTAACTTAAAAAATGTTTTAATCTTATTTTAACTTAAAAAAATTTAAATCTTATTTTAACTTAAAAAAATGTTTTAATCATCTTAGCTTAATAAAAAAAATGTATTTTTTATTTTTATTTTAACTTCAAAAAATATTTTTATTTTTATCTTAATTTAAAAATATTTTTAACATATATTTAATAAGTTAAAGTAAGATTGGATACAGCCGTCCAATGTCGACGATCAGGTTTTGAATAGTCGTCCAATGTCGACGATCAGGTTTTGGATATTCCGACACACCCAACTGTTGAACTTAAAAACAACGGTCCTTTTGCTCAACAAGTATCTCCTTAGCTTTTATGACTACTGTTATCCAATCTTACAATGTTTCACATGCTCTCATGGCTTGTTACAATTACGTGGCTATAAATTTCCTTGAAATAGTTCTAAGACAACATATTTTGTCGAGGAAGCAGTTTTTCAATATCTTGGCTTGTGTGTCATCTTTTATTTCTCCATGGTATGTGGGACCACTTCTTTAAGGTATGCTAGTGTTGTTTAACCAAGCTATTGTTGTTCAAGTTGAACCGTGATTGTCATTGACAGTGGTCAAAGGGGAAATGCTGTTGACGGTGGGAGTGGGAATGGGAGGGTGAGGGTGGGGTGGGTTGTAATTTGGGATTAAAGTTCATGAGTAAAATTTAAGAATTTTATTTTATTATTATATTTTAATTATATATTATAATTAAATATTAATAAAAATACATATCATCATTATATATTAATAGAATAAGTCATGTCATGTATGTGTTAGAGAGAAAACGGTCAAGTGATTAAACAAATCTAATGTATAAAATTTAGTAAGTAAATTAAAAAAATTAAGAGTACAGTGAAAAATAAGAGAGTAAATTAAAAAAATTGAGTGGTGTAGTTTACCCTTATCAAATTGGGTAAAGATACTCCGCTATCAACGCTTCCAGAAACAACCCAATAGTCGTTTGTGATTAGAAAAAAATGGTGTTGGGTTTGTTTGTAATTAAGGCTCGGGTCTGTTGAGCCGGTTGTAAATAGAAAAAAATGGTGCTCACATATATATATATATATATATATATCTAACTTCTACTTATAAGATTTGAACCTTGAACCATTGCAAGTTATACAATTATTATAATTTTAACCAAAATAATATTTAAATTAAGTTTGTATTTTTTTTAGAAATTAAATAAATAATTATTTTAAAATAACTAAATCGATCTCGCTCCTAAATGTTAACAAAATTATGCAATTCAAAATAGTATAATTCTTGAATACATTAGTGGATAATTTTTAAAACTTCACAACAAAAATAAAGAGTTTTAAAAAAAAAAATAAACGACATACAACGTTTCTTCTTCAACTAACTTTATCGTTAATGTATCAGACTTACATTTATATATTTTTTAAGGTGGTAACTAGTTTAACTTAGATATTTGTTTCGATAGAGTTTTGTTAATTCCTTGATTTAGTTTAGTAGTTAGACATTATACTCTAATCAAGAGGCTAAGGGTTTAAGCTTTTTCAAAGTCAAAATTGATTTTCGTTTAAATTGAATAAGATAACAACACGTTTAAGACTGATGAAGAGAGAGAGAATGACACACACACAAAAAAACCATTAGCTGTAGGAAATGAATTATTTATCACAAGCTAAAATGGGTGCCAGACTGCCAGTAAATACACCAACCATACATTCCCAGTAATGATAAATATTGTCAAGGCACCCGAGTTTGAGGGAAAATATTTTGTATGAAATTAGTTATCTACGGCACATTGCCATGCCTTCATGGAAGAGAGAAAAGAAGACATGAAAGGTGGTAGAAACGAATCACAGAAACTGGAAAGATTTACATACAAATGTTGTAATACAAGAAATGGAAGAACTATAATTATCTGTTTTGACTGTCTTTCTAAGTATAATTTCACATTTCTGCATTAAATGATTTACCGCAACCGCATGTCTGGGTAGCATTTGGGTTCTTGAAAGAGAAACCTCCACCGATAAGTGCATCACTGTAGTCTAACTGCATTCCAAATAGGAAGAGGAGGCTTTTTGGATCACACACTGCAAAAACAAGCAGAGAAAGGATAAGCATCTATTTAGCTTACAAGTCAACACCCAAAGGAAAATGAATCAAGCAAAGCATCATTCAGTTACAATATCCTTCCCATTAAATGTTCATTCTAACATCACAATAAGAAGGGAGACCAATTTGCACTCACAAGTTTTCTGGGGATAGCCTAAATTATACGTACCGACACTAGAGTAAGCAAATAACATCAGTATGTGCCAGTGGTACAAAAAGCATTCTGATTTCAACAAGGCATTGTCATGTTAAAAGTATTGATCATAAAAACACGAAATATAATCCTGTCATTTTATGCAAAGATGCCACATTCCTCCAAACAAAATTCATAATTAGTTCTTGAAATTTAGCAGTTAGAGAACAATTGCAAAGTGTTTGATGATCAAAGAACGGTGTAAAATATGCCAAGCATGAAAATAATTGGGAAAAAAAACCTTGTATTCACATGTAGAAATCTACAAACAATAATGCCAAGTAAATATCTAGATGATGTCATTCTCAATCTCAGAAAAGAGAAGTTATAAAATTTATATTTTCAATAAATAATTCTTTGAATTATTGTAGGAACTCCAGAAATGCACATAGAACCACGGCAAAATGCTCAAGTTGGGACCAAATCTTTAACATCTAAGACTAAACCTTTTATTTAGTTCCATTAAGGGCTCAACATTTTCAAACGTTTACAGATAAAGACTTCAATTTGATGAAAGTCGGTATATTTGGAGGACAAGCACCAAATAATAAAAAGAAAAATTAATCATCTATTTTAATTTAGAATTAGTTTGTTGGAAATTATGATTGCAGTTGAGTTTAAAATTTATATTTGTATATGTGAATTCAGATATCTGCAAGATATTGCTATAACGCTATAGAATCCAGATTTTGATTAATAGTAATATTCTAATATACTCTGATAATAAACAAATTCAGATACATGAAAATTAATCGTATTAATATACAGATATTTCATAACTTGCCGCTATCCATAATCCACACTCCCTTAATCTGTCAAAATAGGTCTTAGTTTTACCCCTCCAACTTGTTTTCATAACTAGTAGTTTTTACAGCTAATTGCTGAATATTCCTAGCATATTACTCTATTCATTGCTTAACAATAATTTTATAAAAATTCTGCTATGGTAAAATTTTCCACGTCTTTTGGGGTTATTCACGTTACAATTCTTCCATCGTTAAAATTTCGCAAAATTTTCGGACTTGGGATCTTAATTCAATCAAATTCGGAGTATTTTCCCTTGAAGAATCTATCGAACACAATATAATTTGCCAAATTTTGCTTATGTTATAGTTCTGAATCATCCAATTTAGACTTGTGATATTTCTAAGTCTAACGACCTTTTATCTAGCAAAATCCTAGAATCAGAAGACTAATTCGACCCCTTTTTTTCCTTCTTCTAATCGCATTAGAAAGGAGTAGAGAACATTGTATATAACGAAACAAGAGACGGAAATGATCAAAACTCACCAATTGTAAATCCTTCATATTGAATGATTGAATCATCAGGTCTAGCATTACTTCTCTTCTCAAAATCCATTGTATACGACATGCCCGAACACCCGCCTTGCTTAACCCCAATTCTTAAGCACAAATCCCCATCACGCTCTGCTCTCATCTTATTCAAGTGCTTCAAAGCATCATCCGTCAACGTAATAGCCAGCGCCAGCCCCTCCGCCGTTGACGGCGCCGGAACCACCGTTGCTCGAATTGAAAGGGGTTTTCCGCCGCGGAGACCGGATCGTGAAAACCGTAAAGAAATGGATTTCGGGATAAAGAATTGATGATTCGAGTTGTTTGAGAAGCGAAGAAGAGATGGGCAGTTCGTTGAAATCGAAGCAATAGCCATTTTCCGATGAAGAGAACTCAAACGAGGAAAAAGATTTACAGGTGGGTTTTTTTAGCAGTTGAAGATACTGCATTTTGTACGCAATTGGGTTGAGATTTTTTTGGAAATATTGGAAGATCAAGGCCGTTGGAGAAATGTAGTTAGATAAATTTAGAAATGGATCAACGGTCCAAATAGATTTGTTTTTATTCCTTAATTTTTTTTAAAAAAATAAAATAATTGAGGCCTGCAATTTTTGCTGGCTTTTATTATTATTATTTCAATGCATGAGAGTCTTTAGATCCATTAATAATTAAAAATAAAAATTTTGAAGGTGAAAGAATAATTATTTTAAGGGTAAAGTATAATAATGGTCACTGAACTTTTCTAAAGTTTTCATTTAGGTCCCTAAACTTTTAAAACTTGCAATACAGTCCCCCAATATTTAGTTTATTTGCAATATGGTTCCTCAACATTTAGTCCGTTTGCAATATGGTCCCCGACGTAACTGTTGGGGGACCATATTGCAAACGGACTAAATGTTGGGAGACTGTATTGCAAGTTTTAAAATTTAGGGGACCTAAATGAAATCTTTAGAAAAGTTCAGTGACCATTACTATACATTACCCTTTTATTTAAATTCGGTTATACTTATACTCTTTTCTTTTTGTGACAATTAACCGATGCATTTCCTCAATTAATGAAAAATTTTATATTTATTTACTCTATCGTGTATTTACTCTTTATTTTAAATGCTTAAGAAACCAAGTTTAAGTCATATATATCTATAATGCTATTCATTGCATCAAAGTGTGAGTTCATAAAATTATACAAGTTCTGGTTGACTGTGAGGGAGTAGCCCGGTACATATAAAACAGGTGAAGAGAAACATCATCTCACCAATGAGGCAAGGCACACCATCGACTTAAAGGATAAAGGAAACGACTTTAAAATTATCAAGATATTAGCTGGAGAGTTATGAATCCCTTATAAACTTTTTTTTTAATATTCTACAAGCAATTAGACATCATTCAGAGGCAGCAGAATATGAACCAAAGATCGTTCTGAAACAATCCAGACCACAAAATCTTGTGCTCAATGAAGGACTGAAGAACTACTTTAACCTAGGAGCACACGAGCTTTTACTGCATAACATGAATAACAATACACAACTACCCATTCTCATCTATATGCTTGTATTGTAAAGCTAATATTAGATAGATAAATATGGATCCACAGCATCCCAAAAACCTACAGCCTTCGGTACCATCCCCGCTTAAACCCTCGATTTTTGTAGAATAATTAAAAAAAGAAAACTAAACATATTGGATGTAAACCAGCTCTATACAAATGCGTCTAATTGTATAACATGAATGCATGAGAAAGCAACATTGACTAGACCCTAAGCCATGAACAAAAGCATCAAGACAATTTCTCACGCTTATAGGCAAATGGAACTAAACAATTCCCAACAAGATTAAGCAGTTAAATATCACAAGCCTAGAATAAGAAAGTTTAGCTTACTTAACAAAGACTACAATAGAGATTTATTCAGACACGACTGGCGACCACAACATATGTACAGGTAGCTAAAACATGATAAGCATTAAGAACCACTCAGCCAAATTCAACCATTTAATCCGGAAATCCATAATTATAACAAAAATGTTAATGTTATTTAAATATATTTTCTCAAACAAAACTTACAGATCCCAGAAGAGCTAAGAATCGAAAAACATGAAAAAAATACTTTTAAAACTCAAACAAAGCATGCAACTGTATGAGGAACCTTCGAGCATTGATATTTTGCTTTGCCTGCTTAGTCAAAGAGGCTGAAACCAACATCCTGCATGAAAATGAAATTGCATTAGTTAAGCACACACAAAAATAAGAATCAATAGACAATTACAACATAAAAAGGTAATTACATCATCGGATTCTTCTTTCTCCTCAACCTTTTCCTCTTTCTTGGCCTCAGCAGCAGGAGCAGCACCACCACTGCCGCCACCAGCGGAAGGAGCAGCAGCTACAACAGCACCACCACCAGAAGGAACTGAAGCCAACTTCTCCCTTCCACAAGCAATTAATTCAGTAATATCTTTTCCTTTAACTTCTGACAATAGGAACTCTATCCTATCATCTTCAGCCTCAGCTCCAACTACAACATTAAAAAATGAATCATTCTTTTTGCTGTTCGTAATGCTAAAGAAATCTCCAATAACCTATTTCGCATAACATCATTTCCCCCAGTTTGTGTTAGGGTAAAGTATAGTAATGGTCACTAAACTTTTCTAAAGCTTTCATTTAGGTCCCTAACTTTTAAAACTTACAATACAGTCTCCCAACATTTAGTCCATTCGCAATATGGTCCCCAACAGTTACATTGGGGACCATATTGCAAACGGACTAAATGTTGAGGGACCATGTTGCAAACGGATTAAATGTTGGGGGACTGTATTGCAAGTTTTAAAAGTTGAGAGACCTAAATGAAAGCTTTAGAAAAGCTCAGTGACCATTACTATATTTTACCCTTATTTTAATTGATGAATTTTGTATAGGATAAATTACACATTCAATACTTAAACTATAACTTTTGTTCCATTTTGGTACCTAATTTTTTTCAAACTATACCTAATGTTTAATTTAAATTTCATTTAGTATCCGTTATTAAAAACTTAACGGTGATGTTGAAATGTCTCCGTAAGATAATGTCACGTCATTATTGAAAAAAAAATATTATGTCAGCAGTTCTATTAATTTTTTAATGGCGGGTAGCAAATTGAAATTTAAACTAAATATTAGGTATGATTTTAATAAAAAAATAAAATTTGGATACCAAAACAAAACAAAAACAATAGTTTAGCTACTAAACATGTAGTTTACCCTTTTTTATAATACATGATAAAAATAAAATTATTACGGTACATTCACATATTACACACAGACAAATTATATAAATCGAATCCACCTTTAAACTCACAGTGTGATATAAGATGGAGATGAACACCTTCAACTAATAGGTTAAACTTGAGTTCTTATGAATATACTAATATTAATCAATCGATTAAATTAAGATAAGCTACATAAAATAGTATTTAATTGTGAGTTTAGAAATAAATAATTTAAAAAAAATTACGAATATCATTTAATTAAATATTATTATAAACAAACTAACCTATTGTTAAAATTGAAACGGATATCTAATGTGACTTAGTTTAATAACATTTTTAATTTTAAAATTTATGCAATATATCAATTTTATCTTAATTCAAAATAACTCAATAAATCTAATATTTCGTATATATAATTCTATCAATTCTGTTATTTTACGTTGTTAAACTAACCGTTGTTGAGTATTTGCATTTTTCTATAAAACAATAATAATCTGCTGTTAAACTGTTATTATATCAAAAAAGTAATAAAATATTTATAATAAAAGAATAAAGACTAAAATGATAAAAATTTAAATACGAAAGATTAAGTTTATTAAATTATTTCAGTTATGACCAAGTTGATAATTTGAATAAGTTTTAAGGACTAAAATTGTCAATATATTAGACATTGTTATTATTTCATCTAATATTTAATGAAAATGCTTAATATATTTTTGAGCATATATTACCTTGTACTTAATCCAGATTAATAAAAAATAATAATAAACTAATATTTTTCTTAAAATATTTGTATTTTTTATAATTATTATAAATTTAATATATATATATATATATTATAAAAAAAGAATAATTGTTATTTTTTAAGAATTAGTAATTATTTTTTTCGAAATTTGAAGAAGGACAAATTGGTACGTCCAAATCATCTTCAACTGGACTTCTAGCAATTTCCCTCAATTTCAATATTTTTCCTCCCTCTCGTTAGTATAGTCTAGGGCCTGATATATGTGCTGGGATTGGGATAGCTTTTGGTCCCTTTGAGGATAGCTTTTTTAAGGATAAACTACATGGGTGATCCTTTATGTTTTTGGTCCCTTTGATTTTAGTCATTGATTCAAAAAAGTACGATTTTGGTTCTTTATGTTATCGGTCTGTTCGGTTTTAGTCATTTGGCCTTTAACTTTCGTTAACCCATTAGTGAAAGTCTGAATTGACAATTAAAAAATAAAATACTTATAGGTAATTGCTTGTATCCCACATTCCATTTGCACCTCAAACTGTGCAATTTGTTTCCATATCAAATTCCATAGCAATTTAAAATTTTTAGGGAGACGAATTTCTTTATCTACTCTCCTCGATCCATTTTTAAAATGATGAACTAAATGTATCAAAGTCAATATTTAGATTAATTGATACGGTGGACTTCACCAAAGTAATTGATATAGGTTTCAAGGTGTTGGAAAGGTTGCAATTACTCCGACCACAATTCAATCAAGACTACTTTTCTTCCTTCCAGCAAAAAAAGGGCTAATATTCATTCCATTCTTCACCTCTTGACTAAGTCATATGAATTGTTTGATTTCGTCTTCTTTGAAAAATAAGTATTCAATTATACATCTTTTTTATTATGTATTCAACGTTTTTTATAAAATATTTATTTAATGTTTCATTATATAATTATTTTGAAATTTTTGTAACGAATATTAAAAAATGTGTTAGTCAGTTAGAACATTATGCACGAATTTTCTTTTTTCATTATTTTTTTTCAAACTTTATTTTGTTTATTTTTTTCTATGAATTTTTTAAGTAACAAAAAAAATCGAGAAAAATCAATAGAAATCACCTTTTATCATCTTCATAGTCCCTTCAACGTCTTTCAAACCACTATGTCGATCATCGTTAGTTTTTTCAAAAAAATTAGATCACAAATATTTCGATTGTGTCGTTACTTTTGTTAGGGTTGATTAATTTTTGTAGAGGCCATGTGTGATTAGATTTTCTATTAATACGAGTGCTTTTGAGTTATTTTTCCTCTTGTTTCCCTTCCTTTCTTTCTTTATTTTTTGTTTGTTTTCCTAAAAATTTACATAAAAAAGAGAGAAAAAAATGAAATATGAAAGAAGAGATGAAGAGGAAAGATTACGTGACATATTTATTGGACAACAAATTTTCTTATGTTCATAACATATTAACACGAGAATGATTATAAAATAAAATGTTAAT